CACATCTCCAGTACTCCCACAGTAACCACACCCAACAGAACCATCACCATTCCTGGATCTTATACCTGCACCTCTAGTAATGTTATATATCTCATCCAGTGCACCAAATGCCCTGATGGAAAGTATGTAGGAGAAACCAAACAACGACTGTGCACCAGAATAACCATACACCAAAAATCTATCAGAGACACGAATACCCAACTACCTGTGGGGGCACACTTCTCACAAGACTATCACTCCCTATCCAATCTCTCGGTTCTAATCCTCAAAGGGAATTTATAAAACACCTTTTGTAGATGAGCCTAGGAACTTCACTTCATAAATCTACTGGATACACAAAATCATGGACTCAATATAGATATTAGATTTATGACACATTACAATCTACCTGACATTTGATCTGCAAGATACCTGCCAGACCTAACCTCTTTTTGGGTTGATATCAAATTCACCCAAGGAACCTTGTAGACCTAACCTCTTACACTTTTCTTTCTCCCCACTTCTCCTTTTCTGCCCTTGTCTTCCTAATTTCCAGCTATTTACTTTTTCACAGTCATCCTCTTTTCTACCTTGAATTACTACTACTGTAGAGTAGGGGTTTTCAACCTTTTTTGGTCAGGGCACCCCTGGTGGGTGGTTGATAAGTGGGGGGAGCAGTGAAACTGGAAGTGCTGCTGGCTTCTCCACACCACTGCCACATACCCCCTGGGGCCTTCCAAAGTACCCCCAGGGCTACACGTACCCCCAGTTGAAAACCCCTGCTGTAGAATCACCCTTACTCACCTTTGAGTTTTTCCCCCCCCCCGCTTTTTTCCTTCCTCCCTTCCCTGCTCTACCTTTTATTTTCCTGATTGTCACCTAATTACATTCTCACTGACATCCTGTCACACTTAGCTTCTTTCATTCCTTGGAGTCTCAGAAGAGCAGAGACTTCCTATGCCTGAAGGAGGGTGATTCTGCCCAAAAGGTTGCAAAGAACTTTTTTCCAACTATTTGGTCTAATAGAAGATACCACATCTACCCAAAGAACCTTGCCTTCACTGTATTGAACCATTGCCTTATGACCTGGCAGCCTGTTCTTTCCTCCAAAACTGAATTGATGTTAAAGCACATGCTTTCCAAGAAACCTAGCTCATTTTCATCACCAGCTTCTTCATAAAGGGGACTTCTGGCTCTGGCTCTTCACTTAAGGTGTATGATGTGTGAAGTTGTGTTTGCTGTCCCCTTCTGGGCACATGGAGCTGGGAAGGATTTTTTTCACTCCTCTTGCTACAGAGGTCAGGGTTTTTGTTTTTACCTATGTCAGAGGCTTTGAGTGTTGGTAGCAGCTAAGCCTAGGGATTTTGACTGGGGTGTCCTCCTGCTGAGACTTAAAAAAAGATAAAAGAAATCCAGAAGTTCCTAGCTAGAGAGTCTTGCTCCTCTGCTCATAGGACCAAGGAGAAGATCAGAGAGGAATGGGCTATGAGGGGCCACTGTGAAAGGAGGCATGAGCCTCTTCCTTGGATCTCTTGAGTGTATTTTGACATGCTACTTCTGTCTTTGCAGTGGCAAAACATTGACAGTGTCCTCAGCCCCCTGCTTTACTCACGGCAGGGTAGAGTGTACTTGGTGCCTTGGGGCAATGGGAAAACCTGTCTGTAGAAAGTTGAGCAGTACTGTAGTTATGATCTTTTCTCTGTTTAAAAATTGCAAATTATCTGATTTAAAAATCTAACGCATGATTTCCTGCAATTAAAATGAAGTGCCCCTATGTATATTGGTATCAGTTGAACACAATGTTTTATGATATATTTACAATTGTAAAGCTATTTGGAAGCCTATCAGTGCCTCAATCATTATAATACAATATGTTCTAAATACCTATATATTTTGGCATTTCATTATGGTTTTTTTATCATGGAAAATCAGAGCTCCCCCTGCCCTCTTCCGTCTCCAGGATGAGGGTCCAGTTGTAGCCGCACCCCCCACCGCTGTTTTGTGGTGCTGAGCAGCCTTGATATTCTGGTGCCCTGCCCATTGCATTGCCCCTCACTTCCAAACCACAGCCCTCCCAGCCCTGCTGGTGCCCTTCACTCCTGACTCGCTGTCCCCCACCCCCAGCCTTCCAGTATAAAGAAGGGGGTAGGTGTGTGGGGAACAGGATGGGTGTGTGGGAAAGGAGGGGTGTGGGCACAAAGTGTGGGGGGCAGGGTGGAACAGGTGACTGGTGGGGGGATATGTGCCCCCCCAAGATTTATGTTCCCACAGCAAGGCATAGGGCGAGGGACAAGGGGCAGGGGCTGGACCAGCTCCAGGCAGGAGCCACCTCCACGGCCTAGCAGGCAGGACCCAGCACAGGAGGAAATGCTGTGCTGCCATGGCCACCAAGGCAAGTGTGGTGGTGGCACGGAGTTGTGCCCCCCACTGCTGTCAGGTGAGCAGGGGACACCTCACTTTAGTGACCGTGGTGGCGTGGCGCTCCCTCCTGCGCCAAGTCCTGCCCACTGGGCCACAGATGTGGCTCCTGCCCACAGCTGGTCTGGCCTGGCTGTAGCCCTGCGCCCTGCTGTAGGCACAGAAATCTGGGTGGGCATATGCCCCCCACACACAATCTATCCTCCTCCACCCCACCCTAGGTGTCACCTGTGCTCCCTCAGTTCCCTGCTTGTGCCCCCACCTGTGCCTGCGCCGCCCCCACTATCTTGCCCCGGTAGACGTATGTGGAGGGAGCTGCTGGAGCTGCTCTCTACCACACTGCCTGACTGCCACTTGTATGTGTGAGTGCACACATGCGCATGGCGCTCCCTGCTGCCTCCGGCCCCAAGCACCCCCTTGCAGGCTGGAACTCAGCCAGCCTGCAAGGGGAAACCCACTATTTCCTGGGGTTTTTTGCTTTACAGGAGAAAATCTGGGATTTTCTCCTATAAAGGAGAACATCTGTGTTTTTCCACAGCCAATGGAAAACTTGGATCCCTGGTAATAAGATCATTTGCTTATTTCTATCAGGGAAACATAACAAGGCAAAATCAAAGCAAAGAGATGGCACAGGATCTCAGTAAAGCCTTTAGAAACAAGGGGTGAAATTCTAAGCAAAATAGCTCCCTCCTTTTGGTTGAATTGTCAATAGAAAAAATGGCACTGATACCATGACTTTTAAATTTTTTTAGCCTATAGATTGTACCTATTTAGCAATATCCTATTTTATGTTGCTAAGAATCAAGTGACAGTGTAAAAGAGTCTCATTAACACTTCAACTTCCTGGGCTGATAACCTTCTACCTCATTTAATACAACACACCTCTACTTCTACATCTCTATATCTACAGAAATGAACTCCACTGACACCCAGAAAACTAGGCTATCCAACACAAAGCATTTGTTATGTGTACAGATTCCCCAAAGACTTTCTGTTATGTATTTTTTCTTACATTCCTAAATTTTCTTAACTAGCTGGCTTCCATTCCCAAAGAGAGACACAAAATACTATTGCAAGACCCTCAGGTACCACAATGATGAGTACAGTACAAGAGCCTGTAGAGAAGATAAAAACAGAAAGAAACCCATTCATGAATATCAAACAATTCGAAAGAAATTACTTTGGCAGAGTCACCCAGGCGTGGGGTGGAAGAAGCTGTTCTCGCAAGCATCACAAGGCAATGTGTGTAGAAGTTATCCATGTAGCTTTCCCCACACACCAGTGTAAGGCAGAACCCTCAGAATAATTAACTAATCTCCCTTTGTTAAAATCTCATTCAAGGTGCATAACACTGGTCTTCTAACCATAAAAATAGCCTTTCCCATGGCAGAAGCTGGGGCATATCAGCAAGAAATGATCATGACTTCAGTCTGTAAATTACACAAGGGAAAAATTGATGATCTTACATTAACAATTGATGTTCTTAATAGAATGCCATTAAGAGGATGTGAATGGTAAATTGATTCAGACATGTAGGACAGTTTGCTTATTGAAAGCCAGTTCAGGAGTTATGTTAAAGGAGGTTATATTATTAGATTGCATGGCTTAGCATTTGGATCACATTAGATTCTTCAAAACTTACAAAAGCATTTATATTTTAACTAAGAGAAACCAAATTATGTCTCCTTAATATCTGTTCCAATACCATGGTGAAGGGCATGATAAAGGAGACCAAGAGGTCTAAGCAGTTTAATGATAAGGATGTGTGGGGCAGGGTGTGCAACACTGTGTACAAGAAAATCCCCATATTTCGTGTATTTTGGAAACACCAAGGGTTTATTCACAGAACTGGAAGTCTACATAGCCTACAGTCCTGGAGAGGAGCATGACAGAAGTAGGTTAGGAAGGGGGATTAGATGATCATAATCACTAACCATTCTGCATCAATGACTCATCTCTAAGTTTAATACTGACCCACCTTTTGTAAAGTGTTTTAGAAAGTTTCCCTGTTGACTTTGTGTGATCAACTTATACCATGGTAAAGGAACATGAATTTCAGATAGCACTGAACACCCACAAGATGGGAATGGCCTCTCTTAAAGTGCACAAGTTTGGGCATCCAAAAAGTAGGCACTTAAACTTATAGTGGATCGAAAGGGAAGCCTAGTTGCATGAAAACCTTTGCACACCTGATCCCAGGGGATGAAGCAAGTTGCCTTCACTATATCCACAATGAGGTGACAATGTTATCACATGATCCAGAATCAAAATATTTAATCAATAGATTGAGACCAAATGCAGCTAAGATAGCGCAGGCAGCTCCAACTGTTAGTCTGACAGGTTTGCCCTCACCCCTTCACTTCAGCGAGACATTGACTCTGATGCCAAAAAATACTCCTTGGATCACTAGTAAATGGGTAGGGGTGATGCTCACTGCGAAGATCCTCACCATCTCCTGAGAGTTCAGCCCTATTTGTCACCTTGGGGTGATGGTTGGGAAGTAATTCCTTTGCCTCTTGTGGTTGCACATTTGTCAGGCTGCTCTGCACTCCCCACCTGCATGTCAGACACTCCTGATTTTGCCTTTGCTCCCTTGCATGCAGGAAATAAGGCACATAGGAAGTGCGCACAATCGGAGTGCTATGCCATTCACTGCTGCCACAGCTTCAGGCACTGCACCCAAAGTGATCACTGCTCAGTACAACAATCCAGCATGCCTGTACTCCTCAGAAAACATCCAGACCTTCAACAATGCTGTGGAGTCTAAGTCAGCGGGGGGTGTACAGGACCCCAGTAAAACGTAAGTCTTTCTCCACTTTTCTATCCTTGTCCCCAAACTCGACAGAACGTATGTTGTTGCAAAGCCAGCTTTGGCGCAAGGATATCAGTTCTTTAACCTGGAGCGAAAATCCCAAGCCTCTCTCTTTCAGGAACGTGGAAGGAGCTCAGGCATGAGACTGGATGCAGGCCATGGGGAAGCAGCTCCCTGTGGTGGGGAATGGCCTCCAAGATACAGAAGAGAATTTAACAATGTTGTGTTTCTTTGTTCACCAGAGACCGAAGCAGTTTCAGCGTGCATTCAGCATGACATGCCAACCCTTAAAATCGCCCTCTGGCCCAAACAGGTGCCTGACACTTTATCATCAGCACTTTGTAAAGTTAGTGAGCTGTTTTGGCTTTGCAAGCA